CCCTCCCTCTGTGTTCCTTTATTACCAGATACTGGAATAAGCACCACTTGAAAGCCTGTAGTGAAGAGTTGAGTGCCGCTCCAATAAAAACATACAAAGAAATATTCACATATTTTACTGTTCTAACACAAAACGTTCTCTATAAAGAGAAAGAATCAAAATAGTGTCAGGTAACAGGATGTAACACCTAAGGACGTATGAAAGGGTTTTTTCCCCCAAAATAATTAAGTTTCTTCATTAAAACCAGACAGTATTTCAGTTCTACAAAACAAGCCCTATAGATCTTTTCTTTTACTTTCAATAGAAATTTAATTACAACAGATAAAAAAAAATCTGAGATATTTTGTTGCAACAATAGCAACCCATTTCAAGTAAGGAATAAATGTAAGGTTTTATTTCTGGTCATTTACATGACTAAAGTACCAATTAAAAAAAAGGATTAATTCTTGTCTTCACAAATTCTACTTAAAAAAACCAAACTTATTTCCTTTACTTAAATTAATTTCTAGAAATTTTGCTCAGAGGGTGTAATATATTTCTACTGAAAATACTTCTTTTTTTTCCCCCTATTTTTTTGTTTTGGAGGAACAGAAGGAAGATGCCCTTACTGTTTTGCTTTGGAAGCCGGTCGCTGCTGTCAGAATAGACCTGGCATGGCCACACACACACACAGCTATTTGGGTGCAGTATCATACAGATCAGGGAAGAATATACAAAACCCCACAGTTTGTAATACTGTGACAGTTTTTCAGTATATTCACATAAAGTAATCTCTGACTACCTGTAACTAAACTGGATATAAATCCTGAAGAACCCTGTCTATAAAACTGAGTAATCCACCAATATACTGTCTCTCTCCTAAAAATACCTGTATTTTACACTAATATACAACGTACCTTCTTGCAAACACAGAAGTAGCCATAAATAAAACTTTATTCTTTCATTTCATTTACAAGCTACCAAGTACCATGTATTTACACAGCACTGGACACTTAAAGTAGTTGCAGTCACAAAATGATCCAGACAGCTGTTGATAAAGTAAAGGATCTTAAGATAAAAGCAAAGTAATACTGTAACAGATAAGTGGCAAAAAAAGCAGTTTTGCCATAATGATCAGACTTGCATGTTGCATCAATTCTGGTTGAAACGACTGAGCGCCATGCGATTCTCAGCTTTAGTTGTTTGCAGTCTGGCTAAAGTTTGTACAGTCATTTCTCTTTTGCAGTTGTTAAAATAAAAAAGTTAAAAACTATAGCAGCAACAAGCAAACCCTGTGACAGGAAGGCAAGGTTTAAGAACTAAAAAAGTTTATACAATGTGCTTAGGAAGGTTGCAGAATTTATCTTCCATCGGCAGGAGTTCGACTGAGTGACAACATGATTCGGGCGTATCTTTCACACAGTTCATGTGTGGAGTAGGAGGGTAACTTTGGCGGATCATTGAAACCTTTAATCTCGGTAGAACAATCTAGCAGTTTTGGCAGGAAATCCGTCAGCTTTTCTTGCAAGTTAGCTGCAAATAAAAGCAAGAAAAACAAACATTAAGCATTTACATCTGCATGTGAGATTCTCCTTTCTCTGCCCAAAACTGACTATTGGTGGGTGGGAAGAGGAAGAGTTCACTTGGAATAAGCCACTTCCTTCAGGTCTGCCAACAATAACTAGGACATACCAATTCCCGGTAAGATATTAATATAAACGCCTCTTCAGATGGCTTAATACCAAAAATGTTTTTCCATTCAAAATGTATGTTTCCCTCAAGGTCAAATACCCCAGTGCAGTATCTGAAAAAACTTTATTTAGATGTGTATGGGCCTATTCAAACATCAGGGTAGCTCAAAGTACATTACCAAGGCACAATATATACAGGTTCAAGGCAAGAGATTGGAAACATCACATTTACTTTTAAAAAAAAAAAAAAAAAAAAGGTGTGCAAGGGCCCTTTACCTTAATGAATAAATGACTTACGTTCCATTTCTTGTCCAAGATAGGAACACCAACGGTTTCTCATGTCTTCCACAGCAACAATATCCTTCTCTTCCATTTCATCCACCAGTAGTAATGGCAAACACGGGACAATAAGCTCATTCATAATGATCAGGCCATTATTCACTTCCTGATCATCTCCTGATTCAAACAGTGCTGCAGCATGTTCATTTAGTTTCTTCGTAAACCACCACAAAAAAGGAAAGCCTTTAAGTATACAGAATTTCACATTCTGCCAAGCATCAGTTTGTTTTAAAGCACACACACTTCCTACAAAGCTACCTGACAACGTGTACAAACCGCAGTTGCACGTTAGCGTTTACAGCAACGATGCATACACTATCAAACCACTTGATCTTGTGCTATCCTCAAGCCACTTCCTTTCATACTTGGCAACTCAACCTTTGCAGCCATTCTTTTTGAAGACTGAGGATCTATCACCTGCTTCTGTTCTGTCACCACTGCTCAAAGTGACACAGTCGAGGCAGAAATCCCTTGTCTCCTGCTGATGCCTTTTCTATTATCTGTCTCCCTGACAAACTGTGGCTAGACGGCGAGTCTGCGCACCCACACTGTAGGTTGTTCTACCTAGCCCAGACATGAGGGCAGTGAGCACACTATTTAAAATTGTAAAGATGATTATTTAAAAAAAAAAAAAAAGGGATGGGGGGTGGGAATAATGTTTTCCTTCTTACTTTTGGTTTTACCGCTTACACAAAGTCTAAGTATTAACTTGTTAATGAAACAGGGTTTTGGTTTTCTTTTACCTGATGGCAACAGTTCTCTACTAATTAATTTTGCTAAAGCTATGCAGCAAGTTCTACTTCGAGACACGCTTCACCCTTCACTTACTAGCAAACATTCTCGTCTGTAGTGAGATATCAGCTCTTCATCGTGCCCTCTGTAGGGGCCTTTGGACAAGAGTTCTTTGTTATTCTGGTAAGCATAGATAAGGTAGAGCAAGGCTTCCATATAGCTGAAGTAAAGAAACAAAACCATTAGATGCAACACCCAGGTACCACCTGCCTCAGGGCAACCACTGTACTCTTAAAGGACAGGTAACGTTTGTTTGACTCTAAATCCACCCCTCCCCCCCAAACTCTTCATCAGGTTCATTTTTCTACTGCGCAATTTCATCTTTTACGCACACTCGAACAATTTAGTGTATTATCAGGTTAGATCACTTGCACACGTCTGATCCAGAGCTCACTGACACCAATGGACACCCTTTCATTCACTTCAAAAATAGCTTTGGAGTAGCCTGAAGACTTTATGGAAACTTACTTTTTCCTGCAGGCATTTTCTGCATATTAGGTTTTACCTTCTGTTGACACAGGTATCTCCATAGCATTTTATACCTTAGTAATTAAGACTTAAATCTGTCACCCTATTCCTAAAAAATAAACTGCGAATTTTCAGCCCCACTAAGTGTAAACTCTTCAAAACAACTGAAGTCGAGAGTGATGGAAGAAGCCACAGCAGCCTATCAAAAGTAGGAGTGCCGACTAACAGTTGGTATTTCTTTATTCTGAATGCAGAAGATAAATACATGCCTAATTGCTAAAGGCCGGGTAACAGAGGACCTAGGAACCTGACAGTCAATAATCAACAGCGATGCCTTCACGCACGGATTAACAATCTCCCCTCACACTGCTGCACACTATTTCCAGCCAACACCTTAAACTGTTACTTCTCTGACTTACAGAAATCACGTTGTAACAGCCAGCTACTGAAAGCAGCTCAAGCACCTACCCTAAAAAGAAGTATTTAGAAATCTCATTCTTATTGAAACT